GGCAATAGTATGAACAGTCGCATGCCGAGAAATTTGATAAGTCAGAAGAAATGGACACAATCTTAGGAACACACAATCGAACCAAACCTACTCATGAAGAAATAGACAAACTAAACAGGCCTACAGCTCGTGCGGAGATCAAATCGGGAACCAAAACTCCTCAACAGAGAAAAGCCCAGGACCAGAGGAGAATTCTTTTAAAACATTTAAAGAAGAATTAACCCAAGCCTTCTCAAACTCCTCCAAAAAGAACTATAGAGGAAGGAATACTTACTAACTCATTCTATGAGGCCGTAACTGCCCTGACGTCAAAGCCAGACAAAGACACTACAAGAAAAGAAAGCTAGAGACCTTATGAATAGCGATGCAGAAATTCTCAACAAAATACTAGCAGAAACATCCAGAAGCGCGTTAAAAGGACTCCACACCATGACCAGGCGGGTTTTGTTCCTGGGACGTGAGGATGTTTCACCTGCAAAAATCAACCAATCACCACACTAATAGACTGAAGAAAGAAAAAGAAAAACACATCTCAACTGATATACATACAGAATTTGCCGATACCCTCCCACGATAAAGAAGGAAAAAAAACTCAACAAACTAGGAATGGAAGGAAACTCTCTCAATACAGTCGAGGCCGTATGTGAAGGGCCCACAGCCGACAGCACGCTCAAGGGCGAGAGGTGAAAGCGTCTCCTGTGAGGCCAGGAACGAGACGACGACGCTCACACGAATCCACCACTCCTATTCACCACAGGGCTAGGTCCAGCCAGAGCAATTAGGCAAGAAAAAGAAATAAAAAGGCACCCAGATTGGAAAATAAAGAAACTACCCATGGTCACAAACGACACGAGCTGATGTGCGGAAGTCGCCAAACGCACCGCCAAACACGATTCCAGCTTGCTGCGGTGTGTGTGACCGCTTCCCTCCAAAGTGCACAAGCTGGTGCCCAAACCCCCAGGGCTGGTGGCATTAGGAGGTGGGACCTTCTGGAGGTGCTTAAGGCGTGAGATTGGAGCCCTCGAGAATGGGATTAGCGCCTTGTAAAAGCGATTCCAGAGAGATCCTTGGCCCCTGCTGACTTGGCAACGGGTCGGTCGCCTGAAACCTGGAAGCGGGATTGCACCAGGACCGACCGCGCTGGCTGAATTTCAGCCTCCAGACTGTGAGAAATAAATTTCTGTTGTGGTACTGGTTGCACAACACTGCGAATGTGCTTAATGCCACTTAAAACGGTAAATATTACATCATGCGCATTTTACTACACACACACACAAATCCCCAATGGCTCCCCTGCTTTAAACACTCCGGGAACCCCCACCTGCCAAACTCAGAGCACACCCAGACCCCTCTCTCATCCGACCTTGCCCACCTCACGTCCAGCCGCCCCCCCCACCGCCTTGCCCTGCCCTGGCACTGGCACACCAGGTGCCCTCAGACACCCCAAGGGGCCACGTTCACCGCTGCCCCAGGGCCCTGGCATCTGCCCCCCCGGGGGGCCGCTCCCTAATGTGCAGAAGGCTGCCTCCCTCCTTCCTCCAGCTGGACGCTCACCCTGCCCCTCACCGAGCTGCCCTTCTCTCCATTCCTTGGAGAGTTCTTACTGCTCCCCTAGATGACCGGGGGTGCAGGAAAGTCCAAAGGGGACCTATGTTCCCTTGTCCGTGTCTAGTCCCCAAGGCCCAGGGCAGCACCCCTTGGGGCTCGGCAGAATTTGCTAGAAGGAAGAAAGGAAGGAGGGAAGGAGGGTGAGAGGGAGGGAGGAAACAGGCAAGGGGAGGGTTTGTGTGAAGATCAGGAGAAAGCAGAAGGCCTTGGGGCGGTCTCAGTCTTCACACAGGGCAGGGGCCTTCCTGGTGGAGGGTCTCTGCATCCTTGCGGCCCTGGGGCAGGGTTAGGGGAGTGGGCACAGCCCTTCTCACAGTGAGGACAGCTCTGGGGCCAGGACGGCCAGGTGGAGTGTGATCCGCCCACCCACCCCCCACGTCTCCCGGGCATCAGCTAGGGCTGCCCAGACCCCCACCCCAGAAGTGGAGGGTCCCCCTCCCTGCAGATGCTGGTGCCCTGGGGAACAGGAGGCCCGTGTCCCTGGACAGCCTGGAGGTGGGCCCTGAGCCGGCCTAGAGTCAGCCATGCCTTGGATCCCCAGGGCCGCGCCCTGATCATCCTGGACCCTCCCTGGTGTGTGGTGCGGAGCTGGGCAAACAGCCAGCACTCGATAAATGCCTGAGGCGTGATGCATTCTGGTGCTCGGCGCCCTGTTATGGTGGAAGGGGGGTGGTGGGGAGGGGTGCACTAGAAGGGGCGCCTTGGCCTCAGCGGACGACCCCGGGCAGCGCCAACCCCCCAGAGACTCCCGTCAGGCCTGATGAATGGGCCTGCAGTGCCCAGCTCCGGGCTCTGTGCAGTGGGCGTCTCTATCCGCTGGTGGGATCACGTCCACCTGCGGGCTGAGTGAGGGACAGGGCGTGCTCCAGGCCGGGCTGCTTCCTGGCACGTCCGTGGGCCCCCCCGAGCCCCGGGAGGCCTGGCCGCGGCCCTCCTTCCCGGCAGCCCTCCGCCCATGCTTCCTCCTCCTTCTGTTCTCAGCTCTCTCAACTGTGAAGGGGTAAACTCTCTGAGTAAACAGGCTGGGCTCCCCGGGCCACATCCGGGATGTCCCAATCCCGCGACCCTGTCAGGCCCTCACCGCCAGCTCTGCCCGGGGGACGGCACTCCAGGAGGGAGGGGTGGCGTTGGACCACAGCGGCGGCTGCCCTCTCCCTCACTCCTCCGTGCATTTGTTGAGTGCCTACTGTGTGCCAGCCGTGAACAGACGGCCCCGCCCCCCCGCCTGGAGAGCCCCTCTGGGTGGGCGGGCAGGATGGACAATACCCCAAAGTGTGGAGGGATAGCAGAGTCCAGGCCGAGGCGCCCAGGCTGCTCTCGTGGCAGGGGGCTCGGGGCTGCGCTGCGTGGGCACTGGGGCTGGCGGGGCCCCTCCGATGGCTGCGGGGTGAGGATGTGCCAGCCGGGAGGGCGACGGGACACAGCCTGAGAGTCAGGCCTTCGGAGGAGGCGAGAGGAAGCCAGGCCACGAGGGCTCAGGCTGAGGGGCCGAGATTCCCTGCCTCCTTTCTTCCTTCGGGGGCAGCCTGGCGTCCGAGCCGTGTGTACTCCCCACCCCCAGGAGGGACTGGGTGCCATCACATTACAGAGCACCTGCTGTTTGCTTGGAGCGAGGGCAGGGAGGCCAGGTCCAGCTGTAGCCCGAGTACACAGGAGGGCGGGGGCCCCAGGCCCCTAGTGCACCCCCCGGGCCTGTCCTGAGAGACCCCCCCAGCCCTCCCCCAGCGTCCCCTCCACCGGCACCCTCTGCATCGGGGACAACTGGGCTGGCTATGAAAGGGAACTCTGGAGACGCCAAACGCCCCAGCTTCAGGAGCCATCAGCCTTGGAAGTGACAGGGAGGTCGGGGGAGGAGGAGCCGAGGGCAGCCTGAGCGCCGGCCCTGGGGTCCCAGAAGCGGGCAGGTAGTGGGGTCTGGGCCTGAGCTGGGACGCGGGGCCCAGGCCTGCAGGGACCTGGGCCGGGAGGCGCGGGCCAGCCCGGTGCAGGCGCGCCTGCTGTGAGGACACCAGGAGCCAGAGGGGAGAGCAGAGCCGCGGGCCCTCAGCCGGGCTGGGCGCGACGCCGGCAAAACACGGCTAAAGCTTTCACCACAGGTTTCCCTTTGCCCCAGAAATTTCATTTTTGTGGACTTATCTTCAGGGAGACCAAGGCTGGCGGGGTCGGGGGCGGGGCCCTCAGCTGTTAATCACACAGCCCTGGAACCCACTCTCCTCCGCGGGCCGGTCAGAGCCCGGCAGCCCGAGCATCCCCGCCTGGGTCGCGCCGCCGACAGCGCTCAGGCGCACCAGGTGCGGGGGAGGACGCCCAGGAGCGGGCAGACCGGAGGGAGGAGGTGTGCGTCGGCCCCGGGGGCT